TTAAAGTCTATTTTATTTGGGATTAGTATTGCCACTCCTGCCCTTTTTAAATGTTCGCTTGATGTATTTTTTCCATCCTTTGATTTTTAATATATTTATGTCTTTGTAGCTAAGGTGTGTCTGTTGTAGACAACATATTGACAGCTCATGCCGTTTATCCATTCTACCACTCTCTGTCTCTTTACAGGTGCATTATGATGTGGAAACTCTGGAAATTAGATTCTGCTCCCTCCCCAGTTATTTGTTGTTGTCATTGCTGTGGGTTGTAATTGCTTGTTTACTGTCTTTTTGAAATGGTTTTTGTAAACTGTATTCTTTGTCATCTGTGGTCTTGGAAGTCTCTGTTTCCTTAGCTTAGTGGTCAGCGAGTTGTTTAACAAAGAGTACCTTAAATGCTTGGAGCCGAGAGCAAGAGAGAGAGAATATACTCTCCAGGTATTTTTAGATTGGCTCTAGGTTGGACCACGCCAATGACTAGCCAGGCTGTTTATAACTCTGCCCTAGCATTCCCTTCCTGCTTGTGCTGAGCCTAAAGATCAGCCAGAGGTGAAAGCCTCTGTAGTGTTTTATGACTATGAGTTCTGACCTGGGCAAGTGCATGGCTTTCTAGATACCCCAGTATATGTGGGACCTTTTCAAAGTGTTTAATCCCTAAAGTATCTTACTTTACAGTTTTTCCTTCCAGTCTTTTGGCATGTCAATTGTTTGCCCCAGGTGGCAGCAGTATGTTCATTTATCTTTCAATATTTTTGAAGAACATCCTACACATAGCTGCTTCTCTGCTCTGAGAGCTCTGAGTTAGGTGAAACAAAGGCAAGACCCTTGTGTCAGTCCTTCAAGGAATCCTAAATAGGTCAAAACAGACAAACACAATTCCTTGGGAACAAGGTCATCTCTGCTTCCTCTTGAACTAAGAACCCACACTCAGAATGAAGGCTGTCATCTTCAAGACCGCTGCCAAGCTTGGGGGGGGGGTGGAGTTAAAATGCCACAAAGCTCTCCTAAAATGTTTTAGTGGCTTTTCTCCTGATTCCGTGTTCGTTTTGTTGCTGTAAACCTTTGACTATCTTCCAGAGTTCTGAGAAAGTTGATTCTGACAGTGTTTTTCAGTGTTTCAGGGGAGGGATTGGTTTCCAGAGTTCCCTACTCCATCACTTTTACTGACACCACTTTGTTATGTGAGTGATGTTTTGAAGTTTAAATCCTCATGTTCATATCTTAATTTCTTTAAAGAAAATTGTGCAATTTTTTCTGGAAGGAATAACAAATCATGATAAAGACATTATTGGAAATTTCTCAGGCATTAATAAATTTGTGAAAATCAATAAAGTAATTTATTTTATATATGCAAAGTCAAAATACTTTTGTACACTTAAATTTCTGCAAATTAATAAAAACAAAACAATACTGCTCTATATAAACCTTTGTATAAACATTAAAGGAAAAATACACATTATTTTGTTTTTCTTTTAGTGCTTCCAAAGCACAGAATGTGCAAGTCCACCTTAAGACTTTCTGTCCTCGTTACATGCAAAAAAGAACAGATGGCAGGGGTTCGGGCAGCCTCAGGTGCACTTTATAATGTCTCTCATCAAAATAGAAAGGAGTTGGAGGTAGATTGCTTTGTGACTCCCTCCTGCCCCTCCCACAGAGAAATAAGTTATAGGGATGCCTTTACTGTTCAATAAAATCCAAAATAGCAGCTTCTTTACACTTTGATTCAAACCATCCTGAATCTTTCATGGTTTAAAAGGCACAACGAGGAATTGCTGAAAACTTTGTTTGGCATACACAAGATTACCAGTTGGATTCTGTGAACCTATTCCTTCTAAAGGACATTGTAAGAGCACCAAGGAGTGTTCCACTTACAAGTGGCCCCTAGTCACTCTGAAAATGCCCAGAAGGGCACAGTTCAAATGAAGGAACCCTTATCACTTTGGTAGGGGCAGCAATGTTTACTGAATTAACAACATCACCCTCCTCAAATGGAAAACAAACAAAAAACCAACAAATTATACTTTCAAAGAAAATTCTTAGGGCAAAATCTCAGCTTTTACTGACAGAGAATCATAACATTGAAAAGCTCCACTGCTTTTTTTGGCCTCTGGAAGACAATTCCCTTGACTGCCACACTCTAGGAAGTTTCAGCAATATCTGGTTCCATTCTAGAGCATGGAAGACTCGTCCTTGTTTCTCACTGATCTTTGCGATAACATGAGGATCTGTGGTTGATGTGATTAACTTTGTTGAGAAGGTGGTGGGAATTTATTTTTTCTAGTACATTTTCAAGGTACTGAATTAAGACTCGTCTTTTAAACCTGAAAATTAAGAGACATTTCATTAACAGATAGATACTTAAAGCACCCATGATGTACAAGGCACTGAGGGGGACACAGAAAGGTACTGTGAGGGGCACAATCTACGTGGGAATATAAGACACATCTTCACACAAAGATAAACCCGTTGCCACAGAGCTGATTGCAACTCATGGCAACCCCATGTGTGTCAGAGTAGAACTGTGTTCCATAGGGTTTTCAATGGCTGATTGTTTAGAACTAGATTGCCAGGCCTTCTGAGGCATCTCTGGGTGGACTCAAACCTCCAACCTTTTGGTTAGCAGCTGATCACGTTAATTGTTTGCACCACCCAGGGAGTCCCGTGGAAAGATATGGTTTAGCAAATACGAAGAGTGTTAATTAAGGGCCCAAGCCCCCCAGACTATGGTGAACCTAGAAGGAACTATGGGCTTGGAGGAATGAGTTAGATTCAGATCAAGTCAATCAAAATGCCAGTGGAGACAGCATGAAATATGAATGAGGGCTAGGGTTTGAAAACGCAAGGCAGAACCTGTTTCTCCCCACATCCTGTAAAATGTTCTGCTGCTTAAAAAGAAAGAGAGAGTTTCTGTTGACACCCACCTTGCTGCTTCCTTGATGGTAAATTCAACAAATTGTTTCTTGACTTCCAGAGGTCCTTGCACTTCTTCAAGCAAAATGAAAATTCTCTCATACTCTGAAGATATTAAAAAGAAAACCTTCATTATTTCTAAAAATATGAAGAGTAAATAGAACTCAGTCTTTGGGAATCCTCAGTACTCATTCTTCATGAGTGGAAGCTACACAAAAGTTTGAAGTTTAAACACTTAAATCAAGATATCATCACATATCTACTAAGGGAACGCTTGTGAACACTAACCAAGTGTATTAGGCTGAATAAGGGCTCTCCAACGCTGTCCATAATCCCTGAAACATACGAGTATGTTACCTTATAGAGCAAAAGGGACTTGGTGGATGTAATTAAGTTCAGGATTTTGAGATGGGGAGATTATCCAGAATTATCCATGTGGGCCCACTGTAATCACAAGCATCCTTATAAGAGGGAGACAGTAAAGTTAGGGTCAGAGAGAGAAGATGTAGGGATGGCAGCAGAAGTCAGCGAGGAGAGAAGGTGCTACATTGCTGGCTTGAAGATGGAGGAAGGTGCCATGGGCCAAGGAGTCTCTAGAAGCTGAAAAGGCAAGGAAATGGATTCTCTCATAGAGCTTTCAGAAGGAACACTGGTCTGTCAAAACTTTGATTTTAGTCCCAAACCATACCGAACTCGTTGCTGTTGAGTAGATTCTGACTCAAGCGACCCTATAAGACAGAGTAGAACTTCCCTCTAAGGGTTTCCAAGGAGCGGCTGGTGGATTCGAACCGCTGACCTTTCGGTTACAACCGAGCTCTTAACCATTGCACCACCAGTCCAGTGACAATGAATTCAGAATCCTGACTTCCAGAACTGTAAGATAATACATTTGTGTTGTTTTAAAGACATGAAGCTTGTGGTAAATTTGTTAGAGCAGCAATATAAACTAATACTTCAAGTAGGAAAAAAAGGGTGTATTGGGTTCTTTTGTTAAATTTAAGAGGAACCACTTTAATTTATATGAAAATTGAATTCTGCCCAAAAATTTGTCTTAAGAGGTAGCTTGAACTTAGCCTAAGTCATAAACATTGTTTTTATTAATAGATGTTCTTTCACTACTTACTTCGTCCAAACTTTCGAACTTCCTTCATTAATTGATGTTTTATATCGGCATTGATTCCCTGTGCCATAGCAGGAGTTATTTGCAATGTATTTGCCACAGTTCCCAAAGTAGACATTGTTGTGACTTTGGGGCCGTCTATTGAGAGACTGCAGTTTACATTTCCTCCTCCAAGTGCATTACTACCAGGTTTGTGAATCAGTCCATCTTTCCTGAAACAAGCGAAGTCATCAGACGGAGAATCCAATCTGTTGGGTGGAATATCATCTCCTGCCATATTCACGAGCTTTGGAGGGACAGATTTTGACAAGAAGCCATCAGGTGCTGTTTGACCATTTTCCATCCCCTCCTCATGGCAATCATGAACGACAGTAGCATCTGGAAGCCAAATTAAGAGGTTGAGCTGCGAGGGAGGTGCATTTCATCACCCCATAGGTACACCTCTGTGCTCCTCAGTTTTGAGAAAATTATTTATTTCAAGAAGCGAGAGGATGTGACAGATGGAAATCTCAGACCCCTCAAATTGAGCTCAGGAAAAATAATACAAGAAAACCACCTTCTTCCTTTCTTGACACTATGAATACATACGAAAATCAAGTAAGACGGTACGACTAATATGCAAACATTCACAGATCCCTGGTACTCACAATTGAGCACCATTTTGTAGCCCTTGACAAGTCTCAAGTGATGCCATGACTTCTGAAATTTGCATATAAACTGCCATGCTTTACTGAGCTGAAAGCCAGACAACGTGGGTCCCCACAAGCCCTCACCTCTACCTCAAACTTTCTGAGAAAACAGAAGTGGCCATTAGGTTTGAACGCTCCGTCTCTCCTCCATCACCAAACAGCCCTGTCTATACATCATTCTCGTCATCCTTCACTTCTGTCTCAGAGGTAGGTTTCTTTTTACTCCACGTCTGGCACTTCGTCTTCATTTAGTCAACCTCCTTTGTGCCAGGCACCGTGCCAGAGATCAGCAGAGAACAAGAGAGACAGACAGAAACAATGCCCACCCTCGGGGCTCTGACATTCCTGTGGGGAATCAGACAGTAAGGTGCACGAGCAAACAGAAAGCCGACAGCGTGAATTCGTGTAAGGAGAGCGGTGAGCATGGACGTGATGGAGAGTAGGGGAGGGGCCTCAGTGGACAGCATGGATAGGCAGGGCCTGTCTGAGGTGGTGTCCTTTGAGCAGATCCCTGAAGGAGGAGAGAGAGCCGGCCAGTTGCAGATGTTGAGGAAGTGCCCCAGCCTGTGGTAGATGACACGTTAGGAGAGGATGGCAGGAGCAGGTCATGTAGAGCCTTGTAGAGTTCAGATTCTGTTCTGAGTGCATAGGAAAGTTGATGAAGGGTTTTCAAGTGGGATGTGGCATGATCCGATTTACATGCCCACAAGATCAGCCTGACCACAGAGCAGAAAATGAGTTAGCTGGGATCAAGCATGGGAAGTAGTAGGCAAATCGGCTAAAGAGCTATTGTGATAATTGGTGTAGATGATAGCAGTGTGGATAAGAGGAATAGAGAGAATGGTCAGATGCAGAGATTATATTGGACATCAAGTTTTCTGGGCATACAAATGGATTATAAGTGAGAAAATAATAAAAGAAAATCTTGGTGACTTTGATGCTTTTTACCTGAACCTTGGAAAATAATCGTGCCGGGGTGCATGGGAGCCATCAGGCAATAGATCACGATAGTGGATAGTGAGCAACTCTTCCTGATTCTGTGGTCAGTGTCCTCACAATGGTGGCTTGAAATCAGCCCTGGTGGGTATATTTACACTATGGAAATCTGCAAACTGTAAGAACCAGGGCTTCTCCACTCTCCCGCGCCCACATTCCTGTGGACAGTGGACTGTTACAGCTTTACCAGCACACCTCTGAGTGGTGCCATTGACTTAGATGAGGAAGGCTGAAAGTAGTGTAGCTTTTAAGACGGGCATTCAGGAGTTCAGTTTGAACACATGGAACCAGTTGGGGCCTGCAACGCTTATAGGTAGGGGGAGGAAAAAAAGGAAAACCCAGAAAAGAAAACGAAAGGGAGTCGCCAGTGAGAGGGAAGCAATCCAGGAGAGTTTGATGTATGGGAATCCAAGAAGGTTTCCACGGATGAGGGAGTGAACAACCATGTCAAGTCCTGCTGAAGAATTCATGGCAATCTCAGCTTACACTGGTGGCCTTGATAACAGTTTCAGTGGAGTTGAGACGGCAGATATCAGACTGCACTGGGCTAGAACATGGACAACACGTGAAGACAGTCAGAAATTGAGTGTCAGATTATTCTCTCATTGAGCTCATGCCCTCCTACTCAGGAACTGGCTTTAACCTTCTAGCTCTTGGCAGTAACTCCTAATAGTTCATCTCATTGCTCTTTCACTTGTAAACATGCTTATATCTCTCCATCTCTCAAAGACATAACTACCATCTTCCTATGACATGACTGATTCATTAATAACATGGTCATACTCTGCCTTCTCTTAGATGAGGTACAAGAGTTGGGGTTTCCATGTTTCACTTTGTTTTCAGCCCCTGTTGCAATCTCATCTGCTTCATCAATCATCATTTGCTGAAAAACATCAACGAGCATATTCCATTAAAGTCAGAAATACAATCATTACAAAATCACAAGCAGTTTTCATAAACATATACTGACATGCATTTACAGCATTAATTTAAGTCTTACTCATGGGCCAAGGATTTACCATCACCCAACACATACTTGTTTCAGTAAATCCAACTCAATTTTAATCTCATCTAAGTGATATAAGGAGGAAGGTAAGGTAGAAAGTATTCTCTGAAGCCCATTGAGTGGCTCTCATCAACCAAAAGGGGATAAACATACAGTTACCTCTTTGAAGAAGTACAAACCATTCTGTGTCAACCCTTGTTAATGGAAAAAAATCCTTGTTTTCTCCTTTTGTTCTTTAAGCTCATGAGTAAAATATTGATTAACACTTTACAAAATGCTACATGTAGATGGTGAAGGGCAGGGTAACTTGAAAATGTAAATCTACTCACCCCCAATCCCATGGAGAGTCAAATATGCCCACCTTGGAGCTGGGTGCAAAAGAGATGGGGTGGCATTTCAGTGTTGGTGGTAGATAAAAGATGAGATCACGTGGTATATGTTAGTTTGAGGCTGTTAACATCCAAGAATAACCCAAGAACATAACTTGCCATTATTCCTGAACCATTTGTAATTCCCATAAAAGAGGAGTTCAGAATGTGTGACATTTGCATTGAGCATTTCCTACCCACCAGATACTGTCCTAAATGCTTTATACATATTAACTCGCTTAACCCTCCCAAAAGCTCCATTAGTTAGGAGTGATTATTATCCCCATTGTCACAAAAGCATAGAAAGATTAAGAAAAACTCCAATTAAGTGAGGATTGGGGCAAAGTGGAAAACCTTGAAGTCTATTTTTGTTACAGAAGAGATTATTGCATGTTCTGGGCCTTAATACCAATAACCTCCTCCATGACTACAAATATAATCCCATTTGTCTTCATGCTTCAATGGCAAAGTCAATACGTCTCTCTCTGTCACACACACCCACTCCCCACATTAAGATCTCCAATAGGACAATGCAAATAAGGCAACATCCCCTGGTACCTCATATTTCAAGAAGAACACGTAGTCCTTGTCTAGATAGAGCACTAGTGATCTCCATAATGGAGGCAGATGAAGTAGACGGTGATCTCAATATTAAAGGAGTTAGTGTGGGTTTGTGGGAAAGAATACAGACTCTGGAGCAAGAAAGATATAGGTTCAAATCCTGGCTCTATCTCTTATCAGCTGTCACTCTAGTCAAGCCATTGAACACTGTGAGTCCTGATTTCTTCTTACTAAAAGAAGGATAGTAATACTCCTCTTGCAAAACAGTTGTGAGCATTAAATGTGATAGTTTAAAACACCAGCTCCTGATAGGTACTCAATAAATGGGAGCTATTATATCTGTTGAACCAATACACTCTTGTATCAGGAGGCTCCCACATAATAGCTGGGGGTTATATTTTATTTTTCAAACAAATGGAGGGAAAATCTCTGATGTGTATTCATCTTGCCAAGAAGAAAATAATTATAACAAAAATGTCACAATTGAGGCAGAAATAGAAATAAGTATCCTACCTTCTTATCTTGTTTAAGTGGATTGCCATAAGTTTGAAGTCTTTTTGACTGGTCTGGATCAATCTCTCGAGGTTGAGAAGCCAATGTCTTCAGATATTCATGATAGCTACACATTCTTGTGACTAGAACACTATGTGAGGAAACTGGTAAATCACGAGAAAATGGTAGACCACCAGAAAAGAAATTTATGCTATACAGCTGAAATGTATGATCCTTTTGCCACACTGTGATCATAGACTCATTGAGTGATGTGTATCTAAACCAGAGTTAAGAATCTTAAATCACTCATTATCATGTTCTAGGATCTTGAATCATCTCCCTTCAACTCAATATTTACTAAGTCCATCATTACTCTTGCCTACAGGCACAAATAACTAAGTCCAGAAAAACTCCCTTACCCTTCAAGACAGGTTTGAGAACGGGCTGACCTCCTTTATGCTATATCCCAACTCAAAAAACCATCATTTCTCCCTATTCGGAAGAGCAGATAAGCATTTAAAAAGATGCTCAACACTATATGTCATAAGGGAGTTGCTAATTAAAACAACAATGAGATACCACTACGTACCTGTTATAATGGCTCAAATTAAAAAACTGACAATATCAATTGCTAGTGAGGGTGTGGAGCAATGGGAACGGTCATTCACTGATGGTGGGAATGCAAAATAGTACAGCCACTTTAGAAGATAGTTTGGCAGTTTCTTATAAAGCTAAACCATACGATCCAGCAATCGTGCTCCTAGATATTTATTCAACTGATTTGAACAATCATGTCCACACAAAACCTTCACGCAAATGTTTATAGCAGCTTTATTAAAAATAGCCAAAAACTGGAAGCAACCAAGATGTCCTTCAATAGGTTAATGGATAAACAAACTGGGGTACAGCCATATAATGGAATATTATTCAGAGATAAAATGAACTACCAAGCCACAAAAATACATGGAGGAACTTTAAATGCATATTACCAAGTGAAAGAAACCAATTTGAAAAGGCTACATACAGTATGATTCCAATAATATGACATTTTGGAAAAGGCAAATCTATAGAGACAGTGAAAGGATCAGTTGTTTCCAGGGATTCAAGGGAGAGGGAGGAGAGATAAATAGGTGAAGCACAGGGCATTTTTTAGGCAGTGAAATTATTCTGTATGACACTGTAATGGTGAACACATATTATGTATTTGTCAAAACCCATTGAAATTTACAGCACAAAAAAAATGAACCTTAATATATACAAATTTGTTAAATCATTTGGAAGGTTGAGGGAATCCCAGGATGGAATGGAGAATGTGACAAAACAACCTAACTGTATTACAAGTTTATGAAACAACCAAACTGAAGGGGGTCGGGGGAGGGAGATGCTGACCTAAGTAACTTTGGAAATGAGTGTAATCTGTAAAACTAAAGGCAAAAGAAACTACATAATCACTGTGCTGTAACTGATAAAGTTGTTTCCCAAGAGCAGTACAGGTTAAGAATTCTGAAACCACTTTACGTGTATATTGGAATTAAACAGTTCAAGTAAATGGATAGCAGATGGTAGGAGCCAGGTTTCTCAATGTTGGAATTGGAGTTTCCAGATAAACAAGAGGTTAGAATGATCCATGTGCTAATGGGTTAGACATCAGTATGAACTCATGTTTCCCTTAATATACAGATGTTATAGATAGAAATATTTATAGATATGTGTATATACACGGGTTAGTATACACACATGTATTTCATTGCTCTGTCAGCTGAAGGGGCCTAGAAGCAACAACACTCCGGTAGCAGTGAGCACACCTGACACCCAGACCTCAGTTTCTAATCTCATTCTCCAATAAAAGGAACCAGGGCTCCTTGGAGAAATGGCTGATTCTAGGACTGGGGAAGGAAATATACAACATGGGCCTGGAGCATTTTGTAGTGCCAGGAAGGAAGTGCTCCCAAAAAAAAAAATCCATAATGATGGAGATATGTCAAAGAGAGCCAGCTGAAAGCTACTGATGTCCAAAACTGGAACAACTTCAGCAATAAATACATATAGTATTGCACTATGTGGTGTGATTGATTACTTTTGTGTGGCCTTTCTAGCCATGGTCTTGTAACTCCCACCCAGGTAAGTGGGCAGGACTGTGTGATAGAGTAATCAACTCGACAGCAACAGGTTTGGTTTGTGTGTGTGTGTGTGTGTGTGTGTGAGAGAGAGAGAGAGAGAGAGAGAGAGAGAGAGAGAGAGAGAGGATAATCCCAGGGGATTTGTCAGTTTTTGCCTTAAAAGAAAGTCAATTCCAGAGCAGAGGAGAGGAGTCCACCACCACCAAGGAAGGAGAGACCCAGCAGCAGGAGACAGCACAGTGGGCTTCCCGGCCCACAGAGAGAGAAAGCTAAGTGCCTTTGGGCAGAGACTGAGGGCCAGGGAGAGGTGTGCCTGTGAGCACAGCCTGGGAGAGGCTGTCCTGATGAAAGAACTGTATCCTGAGTGTTCCTGAGCCTGAATTGTAACTGTTACTTCCCTTATAATAAACCCCATAATTGCGAGTATGATCTGTGAGTTCTATGTGGCTATTGCAATGAATTATCGAACCCAGTAGAGAGTGCTGTGGGAGGGATGGTTGGTGTCAGAATTGGTAGAGATGGTTGGAGAGAGGAGGTGTGTCTGACCTCTACCTCATAGGAATCAGATATGGGCTGTTGATCTTGGTTCTCCCTCCCTCTTGCGGGGTTGGAGGAGGTCAGACACCTCCTCCACACCGTTTTTACACACTATAACCCGAAGTATGAAACAAACATCCGTGAGTCCATACTTCTATAAATAATTGAATAAATTATTAAAGGAAGAGGGAAACAAACCTCCTATGCAAGGGAATTCCAAATAATTTATGTAGCTACTCCACCCTCAAGGAGAGGGAGCATACCTCCCTACTTCCTAAGTGTGGGATGCACATAGTTACTTCCAAAAGATACAGTATGGAAAGGGGAAAAAGTAACTTTACAGTGGAGAAAAGCTGACAAACACTGCTTCAGCCAGGTGATCAATATTAACATCAATACTGATAAGGTATGTTAGTAAGTATGCACCCTTGATATCATGTGATGAGAAAGGGACTTCACCTCTGTGGTCTTCCTCCCCAGAACACATAATGCCTGTCTAGTCATTTGAAAAAACGTCAGACAAATCCCAGTAGAGGGACATTCTACAAAATATCTGACCAGTACTCCTCAAAACTGTCAAACTCATCAAAAACAAGTCTGAGAGACTGTCACAGTCAAGGGGAGCCTAAGGAGACATGACAACTAAACAGTGTGGTATACTGGTTGGGATCCTGAAACACAAAAAGGACATTAGGTTAAAAACTAAGGTAATCTAAGTATGGACTTTAGTTAATAATAATGTATTAACATTGGTTCATTGATTATAACAAACATGTCATGCTATGTAAAATGTTAATGGTGGAAACTGAGTGTGGAGTATTGGGAATTCCGTACCATCTTCTCAATTTTCCATAAATCTGAAACAGTTCTAAAAAGTAAAGTTTATTGAGAAATATAATCAAAGTAAAAAAAGGTAGGAGTGTTTAAAAGAAACTACAGACACACCAACCAATGTAACGTGTGACCCTTAGGGGGAAACAGCTATAGCCATTTTGAAGATACATGAGGAAATTCAAATATGAAGTAATATTGGATGGCTGATCATTTTCTTAGGTATGAGAATGGTACCTTGGTTAAATGGGAGAATATCCTTACTCTCAGAAGAGGCATGCTGACATACTTGGGGATGTCATGAGGCATAAAGTGCCGTGATGAAGCCTGCAACTTACCTCAAATGATTTAGGAGGGAAAAAAAGTACATTTGGAGAAAGCAAAAGCAAAGGTTGCAAGCCCAGATACCACTATTGAACATTCTGATCAAGATTAAAATAGAGACATCCTGATAAAAAGAGGGAAAAATGTGGAAGAGAATTTCAAATTCTTAAAGAATCCAGACTTACTGGGTCTGTTGAGTCTGGAGGAGTCCCCAAGACTATGCCCCTGAGTGGCTCTTCGAACCTTGAATTGAAACTATCTCCTGAAGTCACCTTTAAACTAAGTAACAGGTTAGCCCAAAGAGTAAAGATTGTCACCCTTGAGTACTGCATCACTTTAAAAAAAATTTATCTATATAAACCTGAAGGGTCAACAGCTATTTTAAAGCATAAATGAGGTTAGGGGGCAGGAAGATTAAGTAAATGGAAATGAAACAACTAGAGCAGAAATAACAAGAATGTTGACACAATGTGAAGAATTTAACCATTGTCACTGATCATTATGTCTAGAAACTGTGGAATGGGAGCCAGTTTTGCTGTGTATATTTTCACTAAAAATAAGTTAAAAAAACAAATATGGCAAAATGTTAAGAATCAGTGAATCTAAAAGTACACTGGTGTTCATACTATCCTTTCAGATTTTCTGTAGGTTTGCAATTTTTTAAAATAAAATTTTATAAACATAACCAGCAGGATTTTAGAATTCGATAAAATGATACAGAAGTCCGTCTGGAAAACTAAACATGCAAGTACAACCAGAAAGAATCCCTGAAAACGAATAACAATGTCAAATACGAAGACATACAACAACTTAAAATAATTAAAAGACTGGTATTGTTTCCAACAGATTGCAGAGTCCAGAAACATATCTAAATGTAGATGGAAATACAGCATATGATTGAGGATGGCTTTTCAAACCAGTGTGGACAAAAGTCAATAAATACGGTTGGGATAGCCATTTGGGGGAGAAAAATAATGACTCCTCACTCCTAACTCCTTATATCTAAATAAATTCCTAAAGAATCAAAGATGGAAAGGTTAAAAAGAAAATCTTAAAAGTACTGGGAAAATGTGTTACATTTATTATTAAATGTAAAGGCCTTTCTAAGCAAGGCACAAATCTCAGAAACCAAAAAGACTGGTAAGTTTAACTAGATAAATAAACTCAGGAAAATATCAGTAAACATAATGACAACGGACCAATTTTCTTAGGAAAAGCTCATACAAATCAATAAAAAAACAAATCATCTAAAAAATAGGACATGACCACACAGTTCACAGAAAACGAAATATAAGTAACCAATAAACATGAAATGTGCTCCATCTCCTTCACGAAAATGTGTTATACCCTCATTAAAATGCAATGTATTTTTCCTTTCAGATTATCAAAGCTCAAAGATTAATTAGTACCCAGGGTTGGCACTGGGCATAGTAAATAACCATTCTCATATATGTGGAAGTATAAACTGGGTAAAGATTTCTGGAGGGCAATTTGGCAGTCACTACTGAACTAAAAATGAAAAATGCCCTTTGACCCAGCAATTCTATTGCTAGGAATTAATCATGTAGATATACTCTCATTATATGTACAATAATGTTCTCTGCAATATGGATTGGTTATAGTAGAACACTGGAAACAACCTAAAGGACCATCTATGTTTGAATATTTATGATACACTGGAATTCCTCAGTCATTAAAGAGTGAGGTATTTCTGTATATACTGATAACAGAATGATCTTCTAGGATACAGGTGGTGACAAAAGCAAGGTATGGAAGACTGTATAGTGTCCACTAAAGTAAAATTTTAAGAGTATATATATATATATAATATTATAAATTCTATTTCTACCCTAAAAAACCCCACAAAACTGCAATAAGACATTACATGTACAATAAAATGTAAAGTATCTAGTGGTAATGGTTACACAATACAAAGACTATAAAACTGTCACCAAATTTTACATGCAGCAATTATTGGATTGGTGAATGTTTTGGTGTGTATATTTTCACCACGATTTTTAAAAATGTACCACTTAGTGTAAGTACGAAGTCTTAAGTTTCCTACCACTTTGGTTTCATACTTTTGGACTGAACAAAATTGTGAATAGCACAGTTGAGGAAAATTGACACCTGCAGTAACCCATAGAAAATAAACTGTAGAGTTCCATATTCCGGTACTGTGACTATACTGTTTTTTATATTTTTTAAAAAAGACATTTTTTAAATTTTATTTTCCCCCTCTTGCGAAGTATAGTGACCCCTGTTTCTATTAAATCTGAATAAAGAATATTCTTGCTTGATAGGAAAAAAGTAAAGTATCCCTTGGATTTAGTAAAACAGCATCACACTGAAAAAAAATACAGTCATAACATCAACTTACTGTTTTCTGGGGACAGAGAAACAGAAGAAAATGAGATTAAAAGAAAAAAAATCCAACACTACCAAAAACAGGGTGAGACAATCATTTATTTATTGGACAGGGCAAGGTCATTTAAAGAGAGGAAACATCCAAAAAACATGTTTTGCTTGATGTTACAGGCATCAATGCTCACAACAAACAACACTACTCAATACATCATGGAAACAGGCCACAAAGAACCAGGAAGATGCTGTCATGCCACTCAAAAGATAAGCCACAATGCTTAGTAAACAATCCTTAGGAACTTATAGAGCTTAACAGCCTCCAACGAACCTATCGGCATTTTCATTGGGTGGGCCATTAGCCCACAGTACTTGGCTGGTTCCCTAGATATTTAAAAAGTGAGTCTTCCTCTATTCTAGAGTTCCTTGAATAGTACACACTTCTGAATATCATTGAAACCATAGTTAACAGCAGGCTTAACTAGCTCACATCGTTACATTTTTAGACTACCCTAGGTAGTAATGGACCATCTCATAGTACTGTAAATAAAATTCTGTACTTGCTTCATTTAGCAGTGTTACACTGCACCCAAGTTACCCTTCAGTCCTATAGTACATACTTAAAAAGACAGCAGAAAAGCAATGGAGGGCATTAAAAAAAATTTTTTAGAAGCTCACCTGGCCCGAGGTATACAAGCTACTAGCAAAATTAAACATACCTGAAAACTGCCATGTCAATTATTTGCCAAATTATTTGGCATCATTTTCAGCAGTACATTCCTGACTCGGCAGGCAAAGACTTCAATATCCATTCCAGAGATTAGCCAAAATATTATAAGTACATCATTAATGCTTGTCTGTAAGGAAAAACCATTCCACGTTTAAGATTTACTGAGAAATCTGTTAGGCATCTGACCTTTCCTCCTCAAGTCTACTGAGTAACCAACCACTTCCTTTCACAGCAATAGCAGTTCTCAAGATAAGGAAAACTCCATAGAGTAAAACCATATTTGGGAAGCAAGTCACAAAAGACTACATATTATATAAATCCATAGGCAAATCTATAGGGACAAAAGGTAGATTAGAGGTTGCCTAGGGCTGGGAAGGGGTTGCGGGGAAAGGGGAGGTAACTGCTAATGGGTATGGGGTGATGAAAATATTCTACAATTGATTGCGGTTGCACAACTGTAAATATATTAAAAACCACTGAATTGTACACTTTAAATGGGTGAACTGTAAAGTATGTGAATTATATCTCAATACAGTTACAAAAAAAAAAAAACATATTAGGAAAGGAAAACAGCCTCAAAAGAGAAGGAAAACACGAGGCTCTTCCAAATCAAGTCATACTTGAAGGCAAGGCAGACATGCCTGACTGAAGGAACTTGTCTCCTACACATCAGTTTGTCTCTTATACATTATTTTGCTGTGAAAATCATTTTAACCCCTGATTTCAAGTTTAAGAATTCATTTATTAAATTATTCTCGGTTATTAGCAGATTTCTAACTTTGTTCTCATCAGAGAGCAGAGTCAGTATTCCACAGACGGACTGGCTGGTAAAACAACAACAAAAACAACCTACCACAAAACAATCTCATGCTTCGGGGTTGTGTGTTACCAGGCAGAACAGAAGAGCTGAGGTTCATTTTCAATGGAAAAAATTACATCAAGCATAAGAGTATCATGTTCATTTTCAATGGAAAAAATTTTTATCAAGTTTAAGGGCATCATACGACTCTTGCCTAAAGCACATTTCCTTTTCAAACCTGCTTCCAGTTATTCCCTTTACAACTATACAATTCGGCAAAAGCAATCTGTTCTACAAAGAAATGTTGAGCTTTCGGAAGATCAAAGTGCTAGCCAAACTTCCCCTAAAAGTAAAATTACTAAATATTTCTAAAAAAAAATAATTCAACTCTGTATCCTCATCCTCACCTTCAGCAACATACGGTGAAGATGGAAAACGCTGAGCCTGCTCTTAATCAGAAGCTACACAACAATTTCTTAAATGACCTTAATTTTTTTTAAATTAAAGGTATTAGTTCCAAATATCTAGAACTCATTTGGCCCAATTCCTTTGAAGTCTGACTTCAGATTAATGAGAAGTGGTCTTTATTTTCCAAATTCTCTAGCTTAGTATGCAATAAACTAACAGAGGTTTTTCAATAAGTTAAACTGGCTAACAACATGTAATCAGTTTTCCTCACTACTTTTCTACAAAGGCCATATAATTAAATCATGAATGGTCTTTTTGGTCTATCTTCAACTATTCTTATACTATATAATCAATTAGGGCAAATTTTTACAGATAAACAAAGGGAACACAACTTGCTTACAGCAAGCTGAGTTTGTTAAAACAAAGAATTTCTGACATAGAAATTGCTCACTTTCATACAGAGAATCTCAGAGAAGTGATGAAACAAGACCGCTGATGCTCGAAGGCGTATGGGAGTGGGGTGGGGATTCGAACTGCTGACCTTTTGGTTAGCAGCCAAGTCTTAACCACTCTGCCATCAGGGCTCCACCTACATATATATGAATTAAAGACTGGCAAGTATCTGCTGAAGAGTCACTTTTAGGGGGCATAGGAAAACCTGACGAATCACCATTTTGGTCTCTTTAGTAAAGTCCGTTTGCTGTTGGGAACAGAAGAAAATTTTCCTATAATTCATACTGCCAAGGGCAGTCGTCACACAGTATTTCCAAAAGGATCCTAAAAACTGTAGTGCAAAAGAAAAGAAATCTAAGAAAATAAATAGTTACAAAACCCATCAACATTTTCCAAAGCAATATGTTCAAAACAGTGACTTTTACAAAACATGTGAATTTGTTTTAAATGAAAAAAAAATCCCTCTATGAAAAAAGTCAGACTTGTTTCACATATAAACTTATATTGCATTAATGACTTGATTAACAGTGTACAAACAAGGGCCATAGATTCTGTTTTTATTAGGTCTGAAAGATCAGTATAAATACTGATGGGGGAGTGTTTTCTACCCCAAACTCCAATATTCCAACTCTGTGTCCTGTCCTGTTAATATAATTTGTAAAAATCTTAACGACGCAGTGATTCGAGTTTCCTTAACTTCAAGGATGTGTTAGAGGACAAAGCGTCTTGGTTTGAAGTATTTGTTGTATCCGAAGGCCGGAACAGTACTCGACCACGATGATTAAATACATAAAATGATGGGTGATTCCTTAATGTATCAAATGTCCTTAAAAGAAAAAAAAGCATCAATTTTAAGTAAACCTTTCTAAGTGCCTATTTGAAAATAAGCAAGCTTCCAATGAATTATGAATTTGCTATTGGTTATATTTTAAACTAAGTATAAATCCATGAAATCAGACTGTAAATGGTAAACATACTCTTATCTCATTTTCTTCCTGTACAAGGAAAATAAGAAACACAGAAAACCAACATAAAGCCCTCAAAAATTCTTCTTCATTCAGCTATTCCTTCCAGGATGACTATGCATAATAACACAAGTACTAGCTCAACTTTAATCACCTCTGTAAATCTAATACAAGCCCATGCCAAACAGTCTTTTAAAAAACAAGTACATAGATTGCACCTTTGATTATTCTCATTTGGCCCTCACTATTCAAGCCACATGATCATTTCACAGATCTGCTTCCCAAGAAATCTTTCAAGTACAATGAAAAATTCCTTTTGGCCCTCTGTACCTGCTACTGTCCAAACTCATATACTGCTACTATCCGCTTAATGCCATTCTGTCTTAATTATTTCCTTTCTGGACCCGTGCCTGTGATTTGTGGTAGACTCTTTTAAGAGCAGTAGTGGGTGATGGTAGTGAAGTATCCCTTCTTTTTCAGTGATATATACATACATAAGTACATACACACACATATATACATATATATATTTTTTTAATTCACAAACACCTAAGTATATGGTCTTTAATGTTTGTTTGTTTTTAAATATTATTTTTCTGGAAAAAATAGAACTCTTCCTTTGATAAGAATGCAAATCTCAAAGTCAGCCTACCTAAAAACTCAAGCACACCCCCATACAAAACATGCAGCCTGAGATGTGGCTATTCAAAATGTCTAATAAGGAAGCAAAAGTAAAAGGAAGGTGAGTTTCCTCTAACATGTAAATGTTCACTGTGAATCCTTTTAAGAAAATATTATAAAGGGTTATCATTTCCAGCATCAGGAAGGTAGGTGACATCCAGAGATGGAATTGGACAAAGCTAAAAGATGCTTTTAGAAAAGTAAGAAATAGTATGGAGAAGAAAGGTGAATAAAGCTTATGAAAATCACTTAGAAGTATGTTGTTAGGTTAGGTGCCGTCAAATTGATTCTGACTCATAGCGACCCCATGTGACAGAGTAGAACTGCCCCACATGGTTTCCTAGGCTGTAATCTTTTTGGGAGCAGATCACCAGGTCTTTCTCCCGCAGAGCTGCTGGGTGGGTTCGAACCGCCAACCTTTTGGTCAGCGCTGCCAGGGCTCCCTAGAAGAATACAGGAGGAGGAAAAAAGTAGAATAACAAGTATGCTTTAATACAGGGATAGAAAAGGGCCTGGGAACAAAAGCTTATGTCACAGACTCGGTTGAAGTGACTGAAGAAACAGAAAACTCCTTACTCCTCCAAAAACTAAGCTGGGACAAGAGGGTAAAAAGAGGGAGAGAGGGAGAGGGAAGAAAGGTGATTAAAATATCAGAGGGAGTATCTTTCTATATATCTATTTTCATCCATCCATCCATCCATCCAACCAACCAACCAATTTTAAGCAAGTAGTAAGCACCATAACTTAAGAACATCTTATTCTAACGTCAATAATCTGACATTCAGCTTCCACTTTCCCTATCATGTCAAACACTGTCTCAATATTTTTACCTCATTTACTCATACAAACTGCATAACCAAATAATAAGACCAACTTTTATGGACCAGAAAACATATATTTTAAAGTATATAAATGAGGGAAACCCCTATGAAATTAAACACCTCTGAAAAGGGAAAGACTTACTTATTTTTTAGTTCTGACGTAGCATCCATGTCTTTAAACTCCCCTGCGATATGAACTATACCGTAACAGGTAACTGCAAAGGCCAGAAGTGTTTGAAGAACTATCTGTGAGTATAAAGATCAAGATTACTAAATAACATACATATACTATTATAAAAATGTATACTTTTCTCTCCATCTCTTTTTAGCTTCTAACAGGTATTCCTCCCAGATCTAAGTGCTACTCATAATGGAGTCAATTCTCGCTTTAAATGATTTGGACTCAAGACACAATAAAAACCTTCGCAAACGCTGTGGATCAGCTGTAAAAATACTTCTAATGCTTCAATAGATGAACTTAGTGACATGCTCAAATAGCAAAAACAGGCACTGAGCCATTCAGAACTGGATTATCAAATATTACCTGATTCCATGAGCAACTAAGAATGTTTTAAATGTGTTATGGTTAATGATCATGTACAAAAGAGTTTATGATGCATGTGTTCAGTGTAAAGAAAAGCAATAAAAAGAACACCCCTCACCCACCACCCAGCTTAAGAAATAGAACATTACCAGTGGCTTTCAAGTCCCGTCTGTCCCTCTGCAATTATATCTTTCACTTTTCCTCCCAAAGTTAAGTATTGTCCCAAACTTTGCATTAATCAGATTAGTTCCTTGCTTTTCTTTATAATTTTACCATCTACGTATCGATCTCTACAATATATATATATATATAGTTTAGTTTTGTCTGTTTTGAACTTTATATAAATGGACTCAAATGTATTCTTTTGGGTCTAGCTTTTCTCCCTCAACATTATGTTTGTGAGATTGATCCCTGCTGTAATATGTAGTAGTAGTCCATTCATTTTCATTGTGTTTTATACTTCATTATATGAAAACACCACAATTTATCCATTCTACCATTGATGGGTATTTGGGTTGTTTTCTGTTTGTTACTTTTACAATGTCAATAGGAATATTCTCACGCATGTCTCCTGGCGCACAGAAGTGGAACTGCTGGGTGCAGGGTATGTACGTGTTCAACTTTATTAGGTAATACCAAACTGCCTTTGAAAGAGACTGTGAAACCAAAAGTTTTTAACGTTTGATATTAACCAACATGTGAGTACGGCATGTTTTATTTTCTTGATTGTGATTTTCTGTGTTTTTCAAATTTTCCAACTTGTAATCTGAAGTTATTTAAAATAGATATGTATATATATATCTAGATATCTATATATCTACCACAAAGCAAAGGTGATAGGATAATGAGTTAGTAACAGTAATAAGCATATATACCATATCCTTAATTATAGACAACTAAAGTCAAAATTAGCCACAAGCTATTATTCAAACTTTCTAAATTAAAACTTAATGTCATATATTATACCAGTTTACATTTCTACCACCAGTGTACCAAGGTCTATTTCACACAATGGAATCATAGGCACTGTTAACAAGAATGTGGTAAATCTATATGAATTGTCATGAAAACATGTTCAAGACAGATTGTTAAGTTAAAAAAAAGCTAATTACAAGACTATACACACACATGCATAATAATGTTATGAAAAAAACTCTGTGTGTGTAAGATTAGATAAAACTATACGTACATAAAGATAATGGTGTTTATGCATAGGAAGAATACTGAACTACTACACTTCAAAACTGTTAACAGTGGTTGTTACATCTTGGGAGCAGAAGTGGAATTGCTCAGAAATGGGATTAGTTTTAATTTGTACGTTTACTGTTTTGCTCTGTTACAAAGAACGTATACTACTTTTGTAATTTAAAATCCAGTAAAGCTGAAAATTGTGAGTGAAGCTAAAATATATATCATCTCAGCTAACAAAAAACTTCCTTGCTTTTCTTTAGTTTTACCACTTATGTGTCCCTAAAAAATGTGCTGTTACTTTCATTTTTTTTTTTACTTTACATAAAAGAAATTTTTCTAAAAAATAAACCCAAATAATCAACTTTTTAAGTCCATCTCATACTATGGACAGAACAATTTCTGGAAAGACTATTTAAACCACAGTTCTGGAAATGAAACAGAGAAATCTTTTCAGGTTTCCAATTCTTTGGGTTTTACAATGAGTGATGTAAAGTAGAGAACAGATGTTATTTCATGTCTGGAAAAATTTAAGAGCATAAAAATCAGTAAAAAGAATTATTATAAGTCATGTGGCTAATTTTAAAAATATGTTTTAATGGAATACTGTGGGGACCATGGTCTCAGGGACCATCTAGCTCAATTGGCATAACAAAGTTTATAAAGGCAATGTTCTACATTCTACCTTGGTGAGTAGTATCTGGGGTCTTAAAAGCCTGTGAGCAGCCATCTAAGATACTCCACTGGTCTCATCCCTTCGGGAGCAAGGGAGTGTGAAGAGAACAGGATACAAGGAAAAGATTAGTCCAAAGGACTAATGGACCACAGCTACCAAGGCCTCCACCAGACTGAGTCCAGCACAGCTAGATGGTGCCCGGCTACCACCACTCACTGCTCTGACTAGGATCACAACAGAGGGTTCTGGACAGAGCTGGAGAAGGATGCAGAACAAAATTCTAACTCACAAAAAAAAGACCAGATTTACTGGCCTAAAGGAGACTGGAGAAACCCTGAGAGTATGTCCCCCAGACACCCTTTTAGCTCAGTGGTGAAGTCACTTCCGAGGTTCACCGTTCAGCTGGAGAGTGGATAGCCCCATAAAACCAAATGGGACTAATGAGGCACAGCAGTCCGGGGACAAGGATTAGAAGGCAGAAGGGGACAGGAAAGCTGGTGATAGGGAACCCAAGGTTGAGTAAGGATAGTGTTGATGTGTTGTGAGGTTGTTAACCATTGTCATAGGGCAACACGTGTACTGTTTGATGAGAAAATATTTTGTTCTGTAAACCTTCATCTAAAGTGAGAATAGCAGGACAATTGGAATAGCACAGTCAATGTCACTGAACTGTGCATGCAGAGATTTTTGAAATGGTGTATCTTTGGCTATGTATATTTTCACCAAAAAAAAAAAAAGGTCAAGAAGGGAGAGGGTTGACATGTCGTGGAGTTGTTAACCAATGTCATAAAACAATATGTGTACTACTGTTTATGAGAAACTATTTGTTCCGTAAACCTTCACCTAAAGTACAATAAAAAAAAAGACCAAAAAAAAGGACACACACACACACACACAAAAAAAAATAAAATAAAAAGCAAAAATATATATGTATGTTTTAATGGAATATAAATGACCAACTTACATCTATTGGCAGTGATTCATCTTCCTTTTCTGTTAATCGCATATAAGAACGATCTATAAACCAGAAGCATACCATTAAGGAAATTGTAGCCCTTTTTTTTTTTCTTAAAACGCAAGCAAGTCGATATACCAAAGAGATGGCTCACTTACATGTCACATAAACCAAAAACCCGTTGCCGTCGAGTCGATTCCGACTATAGTGACCCTATAGGACAGACTAGAACTGCTCCATAGGGTTTCCAAGGAGCAGCTGGTGGATTCGAACTGCCGACCTTTTGGTTAGCAGCCAAGCTCTTAACCACTGTGCCACCAGGGCTCCTATGTCACATAAACGCTAATCTCAGACTCCTCAAATATCTCTATCTTGTAAGTCAATCAGCCTTATTTTAACATTTTATTCTCATCATGACCTGCTTTGTCACCTTATAAAAGGGGGCAAGAATAAAAGATGAGCAAGTATGAGGCAGAAATACCTAATTTTCCTTTCACTATACTAGAAACCTCTGCAACTAAGCAAAAGAAAATAATTTCTTTTACTAACTGATCAAAGAAATCACAAGTATTTAAAAATTAAAAAGTCTAAAGAAAATCTCAGGTCTCAAATAGCACCACACTCTCATACGATGGACAAAGTAACACCAGTTGCCAAGTCAATTCTGACTCATGGTGACCTCACGTATGCCAGAGTATAACTGTGCTCCATAGAGTTTTCAATGGCTAATTTTTCAGAAGTAGGTTGCCAGGCCTTTCTTCCAAGGCTCCTCTAGGTAGACTCAAAGCAACCCAGCGAATCAACCATTTTCACAATCCAGGGACTCTGTAAACTGTACGGAGTAATGCTGTTGTTGTGTGCCACTGAGTTGATTCTAACTCGGTGACCCTATATATGACAGAGCAGAACTGCTCCACTGAGTTTCCTAAGCTGAAATCTTTACAGGAACACATCACCAGGTCTTTTCTCCCATGGAGTCACTGGTGGGTTCGAACTGCCCACCTTTCAGTTAGCAGCCGAGCACTTAACCATTGCACCACCAAGGCTCCTTGTACTGAGTAACAGTGGTATGGAAATGTTTTTCCTGAGAGACTATGCTGGGCTAGTGGTAGAACAGGAATTCTAGGACATGAATTTCTGCCTCTACCATTTAGTTTATAATTCTCCTGCTGGCTTAACCTTAGGAGGCAGCAAGTTACAGGTAGCCCCCGACTTATGAGGGGGTTTCATTCCGATGACTCTGTAGGTTCTGGTGTAAGCCAAAACCTTTTTTTAAAAAGTTTTTATTATTATTGCCTTTTATTATCAGTTTCTTTATAAATCCAATCTTTATTTGTCTTTGGGGGCTGGCATCAGAATGATAACATCAGCAAATTACTTGCGATAACATTGTATGTAGTACATACTACTACCAATAAGATGTACCAAAAAAAGGGATGGTCATAAGTATGGTTTGTTGAAATTCAAATACATCATAAGTCACAGACTACCTGTATAAAGGAAAAGGATAGGATTTAGAGGCTTATAAACCTGAATCTTAATACTAGCTCTCCAACTTACTATATCTCATTTAAGAGACCCTTAGTGAGTATAAGATGTGTCTCAATTTCAGTGTTAAAATGTAGGGATGTGAGGGGCGAGTGTGTTTTAGAATTAAAGAAATACAGTGTTTATCTTTTCACTGCTTCAGTTTCTGCCAACAGTAAAATGGGAGTGATGTGAAGATTAAATGAGATATGGTACGTGATGGGTGCACTGGTACAACAAAGTTCATTACAGCAAAGATGAGCAAACCACAGCGCCATAGCATGCTATCTGCTGTCACAACCTGACACAACATAATTAGTCTCAAAGTAAGTATTAGTCTCTTCCCAGCATAAGCATTACAAGAGGCTCCGCTGCAGTGGTAAACCCACAAGGCGCTCTCATGACCTGAAACATAAAAATACAAAATCCTAATTCTAGATGAACCCTACACAATCCCTATTCAATAACGTATTCTGGACTGAAAAACCCAAATTGTTTTGAGTGTACACGTATTGACTCTCTCTTAAAAGAGTGTATTTAGAGACATTCCTTAAGTTTAAGTTTTGGGGTTTAACATAAGGACCGGCGTAAAAGAAAAATCAATACAAAAAATAGATTTTAGCTAACCTACTGTCTGTTCAATTACCAGCTGGCTTTCTTCTTTGCATGAAGCCCAATCTGACATTAATACTACCTTTACCAGGCATTTCCTGGTCTGTGAAATGAAGGGGTTGGACTTTAGCAATCCCCAAGCATCCTTCTTGCACTATTGTTGTATAATTTTACAGCTGAAGCTTATTGTAGAAAATTACACTGTACTGCAGTGTATGCTAATCTCCTCTAGGACAGTGCTTCTCAAATTTTAATACACATACAAATCACCTGGGGATCTTATTAAAATGCAGCTTCTGACTCAGTACAGGTCTGGAGTGGGATCTGAGTTTCTGTATTTCTAACAAGCTCCCAGGTGAGGCCACACTCTGGGCAGCGAGGCTCTATGATTATTTTTCTTAATCCTTTGCCCAAAACAACTGACCGCCCCCACATCTATGCATTCTTACATACTTTTAGCATAACATCTATAATGCTTTATTGTGATTCTTTCTCCATCCACTTGTTTCTCCACTGGACTCTGAACTCCCTCAGAACATCACTGTACCTCTAGCATCTAAGCGCAGCACAATTTCAACCAACTACCCGAGATTCAGTTTTATAAAGCAGTCTAGTACATAAGCTCTAGAGTCAAACTGCTTGGGTTTGAATCCTGGCCCCACTATGTATTATCTCCGCACTTTTGTGCAAGTTTCCTAGCTGCCTACGTCTCCGGTGCTTCATCTTTCAGAAGGGGATACTACTACTAACTACCTCACAACGCTTTGGGGAGGATTAAATTATATAATACATGTAAAGTGCTTAGTTCAGTGCCTGGCACATAGTCAGCACTTAATAAATGTTAGTTATTATTATTGTTATTGTTAAAGACTGGAGCTTTGGAGAAAGTATCACAGACCAAAGGAGACTAGGGAAACATGACAACTAAATCCATGGTCTGGATCCTGGAACAAAAAGAAGACATTAACAGAAACTGGTGGAATCTAAATTAAGAAAGGCTAGACTTTAGTTAATAGTAATGTACCAATATTAGTTTCTTAGTTATAACAATATACCATGGTAAATATAAGATATTAACAATGGGGGAAACTGGATGAAGGGGATACAGTAACTCTCTGTACTACCTTTGCAACTTTCATGTAAATCTAAAATTTCAAAATATAAAAAAATAAAGCTGAACTTGTCAAACAAAATGTTTTTTATAATACACATATGTAGAAAGTAGTTTAAATAATTGGATACCCAAACCAAACTAAACCCACTGCCGACTCCTAGTGACACTATAGGACAGGGTAGAACTGCCCCATAGGGTTCCCGAGGCTGTAAATCTTTACGGAAGCAGACTGCCACATCTTTCTCACACGGAGCCACTGATGGGTTTGAACCTCTGACCTTTTGGCTGGCAGGTGAGCGCTTTAATCACTGCACTACCAGGGTTCCTTAAATAATTGGATAGTTTCAATTATAGATAATAAATAGAATGGAAAGATTTCACTTTGAAAAAACATTGGAGCTTTGAAGGAATTCTGATACATATTTTCTACTTTATTCCAGGAGATGGAAAGTAATCTAGAAAAACAAAGGAATAAGGTTCAACTTTCAATTTACTTTCTTCATTCAACAAATGTATTGAGCGCCACTGTGGGCAACATTGTGCTAGACACTGAGGATACAGCCACGCACAAAATATACTCGGTCCCTGCCCTCTAGGCTTTACAGGCTAGAACAGAAGTCAGCACACTTTTCCTGTAAAAAGTCAGAGAGTAAATATTTTTGACTTCACAGGCCATACTGTCTCTATCACAACTACTCAACTCTGCCCTTGGAAAGCAGTCACAGGCATATACTTAAACGAATGGGTGTAGCTATGTTCCAAAAAAACTTCATTGATGTCCAATGAAATATGAATTTTATATAATTCTCACAGACCATGAAATGTTAATTCTTCTTTGTTTTGTTTTCTCCCCCAGCCATTTAAAAAGGTAAAAAAAGCATTCTCAACTCACTACAAAAACAGGAGGAAGGCTGCATTTGACCCATGTGCCACAGTTTGCTGACTCCTGGTCTGGGAGAGGAGACCTCAAACAAATCAGCTGTCTCAAGAGCGCACCGCATCCTCTGCTGGACTTCAAGTTTCTTTTTGACAATATAATTGTGTTTGTATGACATTTTACAATTTATACAGTGCTTAATTTTTTTTTTTCATTTAAACTTCCCAATCATTCTGTAAGGCAGAAAGGGCAGTGATTCAAATTCACTTCCCTGCTACTCAGAGAAGGTTACGTGACTTGCCCAAGGTCACACAGATTTGGCGGTAAGGCAAGTTTTAAGAACCAGCTCCCAGGACTCCCATCCAGTGCTCTTTCTCCTGTACCACAGCGCCTCCTTGAGGCAATGGGTCTCACAACTTCCCAGTCTGCCTGGACAGCACAGGAGTGCCCACGATGTTATCCACCTAGTTGTCAAGAGACCCTGAGCATCGAGAGTCCTCAGTCCCACACTCTGCCTGCTCAGCCCCATGCTGGAACTCACATCACTTGTCCCGGATTCCAGGACAGACTCCCTCTCTACCCACCTGCCCTGCTCTGCGCCCTCTCCCAAACACCCCTGCTCCAACCTTCCCGCAATCTCAGGTGGCCCGCTCAAACTTCAATCCTTCCACCAGGGAGCCCAACATTGCTTCTCTTAGTCACCCCGAAACTCTAAGGCCTCAAACGACCATTTCTCGGACACTCGCTCCGACATTCCCTAAGGGGTGCGCCCACACACCGTCCCCTGGGTCCCACACGGGAGCGGTGCCCGTTCCCCACGCACTTACGCTGCGCAGCGGAAAAGGCTGCATGGGCTAGGGCAAAAAGGCCGATGCCCACCACCCCCTTCCATAGCGACGGCGCCATGATCCTCGCGGAGCACAGTCCTATGAAAGCAAAGGGTGGTGGAACCGTTGCTGCTGCCACCGGCGCTTCTACGCGCAGCGCAGAGAGATGACGTCAGCGAAGCACTGGGCGCTAAGCGCCTCAGTGGTGGAAAAGCCACAGAGCCTTGAGACAGCGGAAACAGGCGTGACGGGAAGTGAAAAGCGACGCGGAAAAGGTCGGCGAGAGCCTCCGAGCCTGCGTGGTGCGGCCGCCTGGGAGGGGCGTAACCCAGCGAAGAGCGTAAACGAAAAGTGGAAGGGGGCTCCAAGGGAGGTGGAGAGGAAGGGCGCCAGCCAATGAGCGCGGGCACAGGGAGAAAGGGGCGAGTCCTGCCGGAGGGATGTGGGGCAGAGGGGCTGGAGGCTGGAGGGCCTGGGTTCTGGGGGCTAGTGACAGATTAACCAGTAAGCAAGGTATCCTGCATGTGGTGAAAAACAGGTGAAATTGTGCTCTACAGATTAGTAAGTAAGCACAAGTAAGCCCTTGGCAACTTCAATTTAAAGTTGTCAAGGATTTCATTTTACTTGGATCCACAATCATTGTCCATAGAAATATCAGTTAACAAATCAAACGACGCATTGCATTGGGCAAATCTGCAAAAGACCTCTTTAAAGTATTAAAAAGCAAAGATGTCACTTTGAGGACTAAGGTGCGCCTGACCCAAGCCCTGGTATTTTCAGTCACCTCGTATGCGTGTGAAAGCTGGACCATGAATAAGGAAGACCGAAGAATTGACACCTTTGAACTGTAGTGTTGGCGAAGAGTATTGAATATACCATGGACTGCCAGAAGAACGAACAAATCTGTCTTGGAAGAAGTACAATCAGAATGCTCCTTAGAAGCAAGGATGGCGAGACTACGTCTCACATACTTCGGATATGTTATCAGGAGGAATCAGTCCCTGGAGAAGGACATCATGCTTGCTAAAGTAGAGGGTCAGCAAAAAAGAGGAAGACCGTCAATGAGATGGATTGACACAGAGGCTGCAACAATGGGCTCAAGCATAACAACTGTGAGGATGGCGCAGGACCGGGCAGTGTTTCATTCTGTTGTGCCCAGGGTCGCTATGAGTCAGAACCAACTCGATGGCAGCTAACAAGGACAAGAAGTAAGCCCGTGCGTACCTTGCTTATTGGGTAATCTGTCCCTGCCGGGGTGCCATCCCAGATCACTGGTTTTGTTTGGGTTTTTCCCCCCTCAAGCCATGTTCTTTCTTTTTCGTTTTTTTTTTGGTAGGCTTTTATTTTGCTTCAGCCCTCTGGAAACCAGCACTGTGGGAGGAGGCAAGGGTGTTGAAGTGTGGAGGCAGGTGGGGTGTCCAGGACAACCAGCACTTGGCACACACGGGATGCTCACTCAATGTTAGTTCCCTTCTCCTTACCTTCAAAAGATCTTGAAGGAAGATTCACACCAAAAGGGGTGAAGCATGGCGGGAGTGTTTTGTCATAGAGAATCAGCTTACGTTCCGGAAGAAATGACAGAGAAGGGATAAAAGAATGCTAACACCGCAGTTCTCTCTCATTTTCTTTCTCTCTCTAAATGATCAGAATAAAATGCACTCTCCTTTCTCTATTTTTCTTTGTCCTTATCCCCTAAAAATACAGACATTCAGTAGTGAGGTTCTCCCCTTGACATCTTTTCACTCTTCTCTCCTCTGACGAGCTTGCTCACTCACTCATTCATTCCCACCACTGCAGCCATCTAGATATTTCAATGATCCCAAATTGGGGTCTCTCTTTTAACTCCAGATCTGTATTTCCAACTACCTGCTGGAAAATATTTCTGTGTAAGTGGTCCTCTGGCATTTCAAGCTGGCCAAACCAGAAGTCGTTTTTTTCCAAAATCTGCACCAACTCCTCCAGTGCCTTCTAACTGATTAGTATAGCTTTGTAAACTACAAATCACAAGGTAAAAGTAAAGTATGCTCATAATTCTTTCCCCTCAACCCTATCAGAATTCTGCATTTTAGCTGCATCAATTTGGTCACCTGCACTTGATCAAAGGTGCCCCTCCTGGCCACCCCTTTTAAATCTGCAATGTCCCTATTTCTGATCCCCCTTAGCCTGCTCTATTTTTATATCACCTTCTAACATACTATATAATTTACTTGTTTATTATGTTTGTTGTGCTATTATATTTTACTATCTCCTTTCCCCCACTGGAATGTAAGCTCCAAGAGGGCAGGGATTGCTGTCTATGCCTAGAACATACACTGTCAAATGGTAGGCATTCAGTAAATGTCTGTTGAATGAAGGAAGGAAGTGAAGGGGAGGAATGTATTCTTCTTTGAAAGGATCTCTATAGAGAGTCCTTCCATTATTTTGAATTGTGTTCAAAAATCCTTGTGGACTTGCACTCACTCTTTTTCTGAAACCATTTTTAAGTGTACAATTCAGTGACATTAATTACATTCACCGGGTTGTGCATCCATCACCACTATTTCCAAAATTTTTGCATCACCACAAACAGAAACCCTGTACCCATTAAGCAATAATTCCTCATTCCTCCCTCCCCCATCCACTAATAACCACTAATAAACTTTGGTCTCTATGCATTTGCCTATCCTAGATATTTCATATAAGTGGATCATATGAATTTGTCCTTTTGTGCCTTATTTCACTCAGCATAATGTTTTCAAGATTCATCCATGTCGTACCACATATCAGAACTTCATTACTTTTTATGGCTGAATAATACTCCATTGTATGTGTATACCACATTTTGTTTATCCAGTCATCTGTTGATGTATGTTTGAGTTGTTTCCACCTTTTGGCTAATGTGAATAATGCTGCAATGAATGTTGGTGTGCAAGTATCTGTTTGGGTCTCTGCTTTCAATTTGATTGCGTATATACCTTTGCAGGCACTCTTACATTTTGATACCCACTTGATTATAAACATTTTCTAATATACTTGAGCTTCTTCAAAGCTGGAAAAAAAAAACTAGAAAATAAAGACAGTATCCAAGATTCATCAGATTTCCTCAGCTTTACTCATATAATTTTTGTCCTGGATCCTTCCTTTTTTCCAAGCTTTTAATTATGGTTATTATTTTTCTCTGGATCCTTTCCAATTTCTTCACCTCTAAGCCAAAATTTTACACAGTAGTTGATCAATATCAACAACAGTATAATGTATTCCTTAAAATGTAGTCCTATTTATAAGCCTCAGATCAGGAAGAACAAGGAGACAATCCTCATACTTGGCAGGAAAGTTCTTCCTTCTCCACACCTGGGAGGTGGCAAGATAGAAAAGATAGTTGACAAGAAAACTTTTTTATATTTCATTTCAGCTTTGATAATAGTCAAATTGAAATTAGCCTTTTCAGGTGCCCTGCTAAATTACCTCTCCTAGTATGGTTAGGAAGCTTGGCTGCTAACCAAAAGGTCAGCAGTTCAATCCACCAGCCGCTCCTTGGAAACTCTATGGGGAAGTCCTATAGCGTCGCTATGAGTCGGAATAGACTCCATGGCAAAGGGTTTGGGTTTTTTTTATTTAGTATTGATTTACCTGAAGCAGTAAATGATTAGGAGTTTTCTTAAGGGATCTGAGATCTGGCTCGTTTTTTAAAAAAAAGATGAGACTATGGATAAAAGACAGAGCCAGTAAGGAATCTGGTATTTGTGTAAGCCACCAATACATTGTCCTAGTCTTCAGGGAAATGACCTGTACCCAGACATTGAGTTTTGTTTTATCCATTGCCCTCTTAAAATGCACTCCCCATCCTCTTCTTTTTAACCTCTTACCCATGTACTGAGTGCAAAAAAACTAACCTAGTTTCACGTTTTCTAGAAATAAATGGTTAATTCAAGTTCACGGATGGGGGGCTTTTAATTGTTTTATCTGTGGATTCCAACCTAAAGGGAAGTCAAGGTATTCATAGTCACAGTTACCAAGTACTGTATCGATCAAGTAAGTACCTTGGGTCCAGTCTCTAGGGTGGGGTTAATCCCAAAGGTGCAAAGTACAGCTAATGGCAGCACTATTTTCAGGAGCTCATAGAACAAAAAGTCAAACCTCATGAGAAAGAGCATTTAAATTCCTCAGTGAAACTAAAAGAGTGCCTTTAGTTTCCCCAAAGAAACAGACATTTTCCATATGCAAGGTGGGTAAATGACATGAATGTTATTAAAGGTGGGAAATAATGATCTTTAAAGCATTTCCTACCGAGATGTTATCTGTGAAGACTCATCACATTTCCCCAGATAGTCTGTGGAATAGAGAAAGAATTGCTATGCCAGAATTGTTTTTAAGTTAATTGTTAATTAACCTTGTTACACTACAGGAGTCTCTTCATACACCGCTCATCCATGTCTCCATTTCCCATGCAGATTCTCGCTCTATCTGGCACACTCTCTCCTTTCCTACCCAGTTCAAAAATCCACTTTCTCCAGGAATACTTTCCTAATAACCGATTACAGGTATCTATAAGAGGTATGTGGAGTCCCTAGGTGGTGCAAAAGGTTAATGTGCTTGGCTGCTAACTGAAAGGTGGAGGTTCAAGTCCACCCAGAGGCACCTCAGAAGAAATGCCTGGCGATCTACTTCCGAAAAATCAGCTACTGAAAACCCCATGGAACACAGTTCTACTCTGACACACAAGGGGTCACCATGAGTCGGAATAAACTCCATGGCAACTGTTTTTGTTTTTTTTTTTAAATAAGAGGTGTGAATCTATTGGCTGTATTAACCGTTCCTCAAACTATTTATATTTATTACAACCTCTCTGAGGAACAAATTCTAGAAGTTTACTACCTGCTAGGTAAACTAGTATTTTCAATATTTATATTGAAATTGCATCCTCTTTATTATTTTTTCTTTACAAAAGTGATTGTGTTAATTGTAAAAAAAAAAATTCAAACAACAAAAACATGTATTCCTCTTAAATCATTAAGTAATGCCTTGGTATTTAGAATTTTTAATCTTAGCAAACAAGCTTGTGGTCAAATGATTCATATTTTTAAGATTTGTTTGTTTGTT